TTTTTTTATCTAAATCTCTGCCATGTATTCTTCAGTTGTCTGATACAAGCTTGTTTTTTTTTATCTAAATCTCTGCCATGTATTCTTCAGTTGTCTGATACAAGCTTGTTTTTTTTAATCTAAATCTCTGCCATGTATTCTTCAGTTGTCTTATACAAGCTTGTTTTTTGGTGTGCGTATTGACATTTGTTGCTTTGCAAAATCGCAATGGGTTTGTCCCAGAAATGGTCAAAACCCTTTTCATTCAAAAATGTTATGACTTCTTTGTCGTAATCATTCTTGAATGCTTGTGGATCTCTGGCCAACACGAACAATGTCAAACCTAATCTGTCTGTTACGACGGAGTACTGGTACTTTTTATCTTCCCCAAAGGACTGGGGACCAAGCTTAATAACCCAATCTGAAACAAACCATAACAGGAGTAAACTGCTAACGACCGCCTGCACTAAATTACAAAACATAAAAAATTTGAGACTTACAGTCACCATCTACAGGGGAAACATCAAAGTGGACCTTTAGCTTGCCAGGTTCCTTTGGGTCTGGTACATAAGCGTACCCAGTGATCTGGCTCAGGTTACCAGTCGGGGTTTTGATTCGTTGGCTGTTTAACACTCCAATCTTCTCATCTTTCCTGACAGTATCTGTTGAAGAGCGTTCACCACATAATCGATCAATAACATATCTACGTACTGACCTTGCACGTCTGCCGTATCAACAAACTTTGCATTCTAGAAGCGCTACACATGGAAGAGATTGCTAAGACTTGATGATGAAATCAATCATGACAAAACGTGATGATTACTTACAGTCACGTGATGATTACTTACAGTCACGTGATGATTACTTACAGTCTGCTGTGATGCATACACCATTTTTCTCAAACGTTGACATAACGATCTTATCTCCATACATCTGAAATTATGTTAAGAAGAAACTACTTTTTTATGGCCTCCTTGATTATATTCGTTGTCTTTGACATAATGTGTAATGTATGGTCTTATAGTCGTTAGTATTGAAAAGTTTTGAAACCACATGGGCAAATACTAACGACCTAATGGAGGAAAAAACAACAAAGATCTGTGTGAAATTCTTTTCTTGTAGTCTTGTTTTGGTGTTTTTAGTGACTTTTATGACTTGGAGAGGATTTAATTTTTTTCTGTGAAACTATATATCATCGAGTAATTTCTTTTGTCAACATTAATAAACTAATGATATATTACTTGATAATGTCGGCCATTATGAACTAATTATCTACTAACTTTTCATAGTCGTTTTCCTTTGTATCAACTTACTCGCTAATAATATTTTACGATGTAATGACATTAATAATGCAACTTTCTATTGGTACTGAGAACGTGTGCGTTGTTACTTGCAGCTGTTATTTTGAAACTTCCCTCGAATGCGTGCTTTATAGAATGTTTCTTTAATAGCAGCAAAACCATCCGACAGATTCTGTACTCTACTTTGACAGCGAGCTGAATGATGTAAACATTTTGAAGATATGTTGTATCTTAGTTCCCGAAATATTTATTGAATTATGTAAACGTAATCTATCACATACAGGAGCCATTGCTACAGTATGATTACAAGGGTCTTGCTGTGACTAATTTGAATACATAATTATTTCAAAAGATACATTTTATATGTATTAATCTGTCATTTATGCATGATCTGCGTTTTCACGAACTATATTTAGTGGAGACTGGGATAAGGATTATGGAATTAGCACCCCCCGGTATTACGAACGTTTTGTGGGCACTGTAGGTGAGACTCCACCACAGGCAATTGATACTGGATTATGACGCTTTGCAAATCAGTGATGGATTTACAGCTCTCTATTTCCTCTGTACGGTTACGTAATAGTTTTTGGTTGTATTAAAATCGCAGAATAAATACACCAGCAATGCCAAGCCAACGCTTCACTGTTTAAAATACAGAACATAAACCGTTCAATTCTTATGTTCAGAAGTTTCAGTCCCTTGTCAAAAGATAATGAAACGACATTATGCTTTGTGCACATATCATTCATGCGTTAATAAATGCTGTACCTGATACCATCGTCCAAGATATCGTGTGATGTTCAGCGCAKGAACAGTATCAATACCAAGACATGGTTCAACAACAACAACAACAGCAACAACTAACAGCACAATGAACTTCATGATTCTTACAAAATGCTTTCTGTGACCTGTGATCCAATCTACAGGGGACAATACCTGATTGACAGTGTCACAAGAAAAAAAGGTGACAAAAATCTCGTCCCAAGTCTCCTCCTCTGATTCTCTGTTCTTGGGTTCCCTGTATATGTAAAATGAGGAAAGAGTCTCTTTCTATCAAAGGACGCTGCTTTCTCTAAGTGATTTGTTAAAATGCTTGAATAGACTGCAATCCCTCTATACCCCCTTCTATACCTCACTGATCTAGTGATATCAGTGCTTATTTGGTGTCAAACTGGGAATAGATAGCTTAGATGTTCGTAGCAAAACAGATATGAAAGATACCAGCACTGTCGCTCGAAGATGGGCGCGTCGAACGAAGACTTTTACGGCCCTAAAAGACGACAGATCAAAGTGAAGAAATTGAATTACCGTGATGAAACGATAAATGACAATGTATGTATAATATCGAGTTTAATCTGAAAAACAAGGTAAAACAAACAAAGCCAAGTCAAATCCGGGCGAACTTGTACTGTTACATGCTGTTAATCACGTGCGTTTCATATTCTTATTTTACTTGACCGTGAAAAATGGGACTCAACAAGTTTTATTTTGACTCAATTCGATCAAACCTGGTAAAACATGGGAATATGACATGATTTATCACGTGACGTGTTTGATGCCGAGTAGCCGCTCTAAAAACGATTAATCAGATCTTGCTGATTGGTTAGCACGTTCAGATCCTTGACATGCTAGTCGATTTTTCTTTGCTAGGGCTCAGACTTCCTCGTCTACACTAATCTTGCCTCAGTAGTCACACACAAAGCCAGTCCCGAGCCAGTCAAGGGCCAGTCAGTAGTTTTTCACAATTGAATGGGCTTTACGCACGGCTCCTAGTCTTTTGTGACTGACTACTGAGGCGAAATTCGCAAATCGGCTATTCCTGTCTCCGTTCACAAATCATAGGTCAGTCACTGGATTAGCAGCTGGATTTTAAATGGAGTTTACGGACATTACGGAAAGCAGTCGATCAATCGTAATCGTAGCTCTTGGCGTCTGTAATGGCTCATTGGCGGATCCACACAGTTAACTCAAGACAAAATGGAGGATCGACGGCTGATCATGAACGCTGGCGTAACTTTTTAACTTCGTTTTGACTTTCTTCTTTTATTCATTTTTTTCATAATCATCTTCACTAATAAGGTGGTGGTTAGCCACCCTAACCCCTGGATACGCCCTTGTGACTATCGATTAACTTAGAAAGATGACTAACATAACGCTTTCAAATATAAAAGAATATTTCCAGAAAATTGTTCGCTATTATGGCACTGATAATAAACTCAAATTAAACCTTACTTTCTCATTACAACAACAACAACAACAACAACAACAACAACAACAACAACAACAACAACAACAACAAATGAAAATTAACTTTTTCTCATTTATTTTTCCAGCCGCCACTAACAGTAAATTGATCGAGAGCAAGTGTAAGAAATCGACACGAAAAACAGATATAAAAAAATGAAAAGTCCATGTGTGGTTTATTCATCTAAATCTCTGCCATGTATTCTTCAGTTGTCTGATACAAGTTTGTTTTTGGAGGAACGTATTCGCAGTCTTTGCTTTGCAAAGTAGCAATGGGTTTGTTCCAAAAATGGTCAAAGCCATTCGTCGTCAAAAATGTTTTGATTTCTTCGTCGTATTCATTCTTGAATGCTTGTGGATCTCTGGCCAACACGTACATTTGCAAATGTAATCTGTCTGTTACGACGGAGTACTGGTACTTTTTATCTTCCCCAAAGGACGGGGGACCGAGCTTAATAATCCAATCTGAAACATTTGATTGACAGTTAGCAGTGCAGACACCTAACCCGTGAAACAAAAATTATATCAATATTTGACGGAGCGGGTAGGGACGCCTAGGGATATGCAGGTTTCTCAATAACAAAAATGAAATCACATGAATTTTATGTATTTTTAAATAAATTTAGTATGTAGTTAAATAAATGTATGCCATAGTGTCAAAATTATAAACGCTGTACAATTGAATTTTCTATTTTGATCAGGTACAGAACAAAAATACTAACTGGGCAGATAAAACTTACCATGCACTTATACTAAAAAAGTTCTTTTATATATGGAAACGTGACAAACTCTAACTCATTAAGCGCAGCCAGGAATATTTGCAATGATATGTAAAGTACTTACAGTCACCATCTACAGGTACAACATCAAAGTGGAGCTTAAATTTCCCAGGTTCCTTTGGGTCTGGTGCATAAGCGTACCCAGTGATCTGGCTCAGCTCACCAGTCGGGGTTTTGATTCGTTGGCTGTTTAACACTCCAAGCTTTCCATCTTTCCTGAGAGYATCTGTTGAGGAACGTTCATCACATACTCGATCATCAATAACATGTACTGCGTGAATGTCTGCTGTATTATCAAAGATTTTGGTGTGTACTTGAATCGCTATGAATAATTTGCAAGCACTTCGCTGCAGCATGATGGAGAGAGGTTGCCAAGAAACAGACAGACTTAGAATCACGTGATGATTACTTACAGTCACGTGATGATTATTTAGTCACGTGATGATTACTTACAGTCTGCTGTGCCGCACACACCATCTTTCTCAAATGTTGACATGACGATCTTATCTGCATACATCTGGAAATGTTGTTAGAAGAAAGCAGCTTCATTAAACTATGGGAATTCCAGGCAATGCCTTATTTGTGCATTGCTGTCAGCTTGACTTTATTATAGAAGAGTTTACATTAAGTTATTTTATAATATTGGTTATCAATCATTTATCAAGGGGATTGAAATCTTTGAACAATGCATAGATTTAGAGCTATGGTAAATGAGATTCCAGCATTGGGTGTAAAATGTCAGTCATTGCAGTTATCTAATCCAGCACACATATATCAATAAAATTATAAATAGCTCAATGCTTCAGAAAAGCGATTATTACATTGAATATCCCAAGATTCTATCGTTAGTAAAATTGTTGTATGATCGCAACACAATAGAATTAGTATTGTTCAATGTGTGTTATTGTTGTTTGTAAAGATCGAGTCCCTATGACGTCACGGTATTCGTTATTTCTTGTTCTTGCCATTCGGTTATGTAATAGTTTGGAGAATATGGTGCTATTCTGACTAGGGTCTAGCGCTTTGTTAAAAAGAAAAATAAATTTTAGCTTTACGTATATCATATACTAGTGGGGCTAGAGCACGCTCTTAAAAACGATTGTGAGGGAAACCAAAATACCTGTACAGACCCACTGAACCACGCCACTCAAAACCTTTTGAGAGAAAACTTTTCAATTTTTGTCAATTTTCTGCCTTTTCTTTTTTCTTTCTTTCTTTCTTTCTTTGTTTTTTATTTATTCATTTTTGCCTTTTCTCATTGGATCATATGATAAAATGCTTCAATGATTGAGTTTTGTCGGGCCATACGGGGAGATATTTGGCTCCTTGGTCAGAGGCCTCGCAGCAATTGAATCCGTACGGCCTGACCTTGAGAGTCCATATTTATCTAGCTTTTAAGTTGCAGAATTAGTAAAAATTCTCATGAGATTTTGTACGAGTAACGGATTTAGTGAATATACATGAATACACTAATAGGTTACCTGATACCATCGTCCAAGATATCGTGTGATGTTCAGAGCAGGAACAGGATCAGCACTAAAACATGGTTCAACAATAACAGCAACAACTAACAGCACAATGTACTTCATGATTCTTGCAAAACGCTTTCTGTGACTTGTGATCCAATCTAGGTCAATGAAACAATACCTGGATAGTAGTAAGAGATTAGCCTGTGTACATCCGTTATCACCCCTCAAAAAATCGGGGAGAGAACGTCTGTGATTTGCMGKTGCTAWTCGTGTTYTGACMTAAATTTGCATATATAATGTGACATGCACGTTAGAGCTTGAGCAGGCACGTTAAAAGGTCAAGTAMACAATGGACCGTTCCGCAACATAATTCGAACATAATGCCTAGAGATTTTGTTTTTGTTTCAGCCATTCAATTCTAACTTCGACCGTGGTTTAAATTATTGTYTCTGCCCATTGGTCTATGCCGTGCTCTCTCTATCTTCGGTAGTAGGTGTCTCGTCAGAATGTGGTTTTCCTGTTGCGTCATACAATGACTTCCATCAACCGTACTAATATCTTCTTGTGAAGATTACATTGTCCTCGGCAGTTTTGAAGCTGTAACTCTGGCGCTTTCGCAGGCTATTATGAGATGTAGAATACAAACTACTAAGCCCCCTTATCTTCTTTAGCACTTCTGACAAATGCAAGTTTTGTTCGTGAAGATTGGCGGCGAATTCTAATGACATTATAATTCCACATCAATTTGAAATTTACCCTGACCGAATATAAGATTAAAGCCTAAACTTTTACAGAGAATTTGAGAGCAAATAACATATTCAATTTGAAGCATTCTACATGTTCCAGTGGTTTACCATGAAGGCTTATATTTCACTCGTGTGACCAACTTTACACGCCATCTATTGATTTTGGCCAATCACAAGTCTTGAAATACAACAGCCAATCAAATTCTTCCTCAAAATCTTGAGGAACTCTACGTGACCTCGGAACACGATTAGCAACGGCAAATCACAGACGTTCTCTCCCCGATTTTTTGAGGGGTGAGAAACGGATGTACACAGGCTAGTAAGAGATCGACGGTGTCACAGGACACAAATGTGACAATATCTCGTACCAATCTCACTCCAAAGGTCAACTTCCTAGTGTCCTTGGTCGCCTATGTCACTGCACTTTCTAGAAACCTGACCAATCGGGGACAAAACAAAAGATCGACTTTTGCTCTCCTGTAGAGAGCTGACGCACCATGAACAGCGTCTATAACTGGACTATGTTATTGGCTGTGACGTCATCGACCTACCAAATAATAAATCACCCTTGGACTGTTTGAGCGATGTTAGGAGARAACATCTTGTTTTGTTGTCTTGTAGTTATAGTTATGCTACGTAACTGATCATGATTCTTTAACGATGTGTCTTCGATGTCCAATCGATGGAAAACTGCTGAAAACAGAGAATTATAGACCCTTGGGGCTTTGAAGGAATTTAGTATGCAGCTCAAAATACGCAGGAATGGCTCAAGACTTTAAAATGAGGGTTACTAATGTGTTTAAAGTCCCAGTTTTCACCATTATGCTTTGCGCGCCTCTGTTATTGTTATGATTTAAACCAAAATACTTCTGGTATCCAAATATCATCATAAAACGAATTTCAGATGGTTGAAAACTCTAATATCAGCGTTTAAAGTGCTTAGAAAAGTAAGATGATCAATTATGATTCGAAATGTACAGTACAATTTATAGACTTTCTGTAAACTGAAAATGTCAGCCTTTAATGGATGCAGCCTTGAGGCAAATAACAGAGGCGGTTCAAATAAGGAGATAAAACCATGAACAATAAAAATGGAATGGAACAATGTAAAAATTCCACGTGCCAAAACGTACAGCTTTCTTAACTGATTTAAATGTTTACTAATGTAATCTTTGTTCAGTAATGTTTACCACTTATAACACTTTGACTTCGCGCTACATAGTTTGCGTGCGCTGTTTGTAATTTCAAATTTAAGCGCGTTTATCGTATACAACAGTTGTAAAGGAATTGAAAAGGTCTTAGTAAAGATGAAACTAGTTTTCCTTAACCGAATCTTGTGTTTTCTGTACTTGACATCTTCTAACATAAAAGTTTTTCAACGTGCCCTGTTAATTACAGAAATTGATGTTACATGTCACATGACCAAGGGAAAATATAATTCAACATTCTTTTATTTTGGTTCAATGACAATAAAACCACATTCAATCATCACGGATTTTTGATGTAGTCCGAGTAAGCCCTCTAAGAGCTTTTGAATGAACAAGTCGCTTTTACAAAAACATATGCATATGTTAAAGGGATACTTGGACGAAAAATTTGAATCATTAGAAAAGACTTGGAAATCAAATAGACCTATCCAAATGGGTCTAATAATCATGAAGCAACAGATTTCAAGAAGATATTGATACAAATCCTTGATAATTTGGACAAAAAATGTTGGAGTAGATGACGTCATTTACTTCATCCTTTTGTTCTTCCATCCTTTGAATCAAAATTTCTCTGATGTGGGATAATTCCAAAACAAATATTTTCCCGCAATTGTTTTTAATAGATATCAATGAGTCATATATWWGTATTGCTTGAAGTTTTGAAATAAGGCCATTTTCATGCAAGTAGCACTTTAAATAATATGTAAATTACAAATCATTTTCATAGAATGCGATCCGAATGTATCATAATATAGACAAATATGAATTGCTTTAGACGCTTTGCATTGATTTCTTAAATGGAACCGCAATGATATGGATCGCAAATGATCACTCTACCACTACTATCTCCAACCTTTATCAACTCCTTCCTCCGCCATGCATCCTTCACCACCCCCCGTCTAACACCACACTATCACCAACATGCCCCTTGTCAACCCCATCCCGGCTATTGACACCACAACTCCCTTCTTTCCCCCTCCCCCTTCTGAGTTTACTGTTATTGATTCAACGTTTTGCTACTCGTATTAGAACCAAATACCATCACTCATTTTACCAGCTTTGAAATCCTCTAAAATCCTCCTTTGGTTGTGCAGCCGATGATCGTCGCGTGCAGTACACGCTGACCACGAAATGAAATGCAGCGAATCCGGTAATTACAAGATTCTAAACAAACCATGGCAGAAATGTCCATATCAAGGTTAGCTGTTTTTTGTGATTTTTTTTTTCAGGTGCTCAAAGAAAGATGTTGTGCGGTTATGATGCCGTGTAATTGTGTAAACATCTAAAAGGCTTTGCACATCATTAACTAATTAACAGTCAGTTATGATTATTTTTTGTTGTGATAGCCTACGTTTAATATGGATCGTTTTGCTGTTGCGTTATATGATGTACATATGTATCAGGACTACAAGAAAGACCTCAGAAATACATTGGATCCTTTTAAAGTATACCAGAAGGTTTTCTCATCAAATAGTGATTTGAAGGCTGCGAAGGATTATATATGCTGTGTTAATGTCGCAACCTTTCATTGCCATGTGCCAGTTGTAAACTGTTGAAAGCTTTGAATCCCGAAAACCGTTCAATACAGCACATGAAACTAATTATACTAGAACAGTCAGCAGTACACTAAATAGTCTTTCGAGCAAAGGCAGGATAAAGGAACAGTTTACTGTGTTCATGGTAAGGTAAGTCCGATGACTGAGAACAGACAGAATGGGAGAGGGTCTTATTGGCTGCTGTTAGCTCAGTGTGATGCTGTCTCTTGCTCACAAAATTATATACTTTACTCAATGAAGCTACCCTGACACATGACAATTACTACTTATTTGCGCGATATTCCAGTCGATTAAGGATTACCTATCGCTTCTCAACACATAGCATTTCATTTCCTCATATTTACAGAGTTGGATTTTTACACTGATTTGCTTGAAAATTTAATCAACCATAATAGTATTGAGACTGTAAGAATGTTTTGTGGCATATCACACGATAGATAGAATGACGCAGTTCGTGTAGTGCGCCATTCGTTCAGGAAGCATGCCAACATAACAATACTCACCACGAGCTTACCGTTAGACTCGTGGTTTGTACAAAATTAATCTTTGGAAGATAAACCTTTCAGTGACATATTTTCATCAGCCTCAGAGGAGCTTAAATTCAATTTCGAGGGGATGGTTTCGATGGATGGATGAAACTCAAAATGCATGTAATACTTCAAGCGAAAAGACCCCGAAAAGACTTGACTATATACTCACGAAAACCATCATGTTAGCTATCTCAGCTATCTCCCGTCAACAATTTGTAGTACAGATTTTGTGTTCTTCGCTATAACAGTAAAAAAGCCTTCGTGATCTTAATTACGACATTATATCACTATTTATTCCCAGACTTTGGAAAGTCATTGATTCTCTCCATTTCGATACTGCACACGTGACACATTTATTTATGCTTTAGTCCAGTCGCTCATCCACAGGCGCGTAACGTCCTTCACGCATATACGCACGTGCGTACTAGTGACAAATTTTCGGGATTTTTATATCATTATCTTGGGTTGCTCTGTCGCACCAAGTCTTCGTTATCAAAAAGAACCTCAAAACGCTGGAAATCGCATTTCCAAGAGTTATTATTTCAAAATTTCCTAGGGAGGACATCCCCCCCCCCCCCCCCCCCCCCAACCCAACCGCTTAATACTCCCGCATTCGGCGGTTGTTAGCCCCCAATCCATAATATGTGCGTACTAGCCAAAAAGTCCACGCTACGCGTCTGATCCAGTACAGTCGTTCCATTCGGCATCTTTCATGTCTATAATTGGTGTGCCCAGTATTCAAATGAAAGGACAAAGTCTTCATTTCATGAAAATAGGATGAAACTAATATTGTGGTCGACTATTAGAATCATTTGACTGGGGCGTGTTCTTTTCCTGATTTATGGCCGGACGGAAGCATTGTAGAGCACGTGTCATCCTTCTTATCATTGGGGGGTCCCGAATATTTCWACTAGCCCTGAAGGCTAAATATGTCATCACCTTAACAACACTTCTCCTGGTTCACCACCGTTACTTTCTCAATTCTCATAAAAAAAACAACAATTTCCTGTTGGTAAGTGAAGGAAAACACTGGATTATTACGTATGAACACCAACCGAGTCCAGTTCTTTCTCGACTTATTTCATGCCAAGTCAGTTTGGATTTACGTTACATACTACAAACTGATCTGAAATACATCGTGTGTCATCGTGTTTTTATAACGTCCACAACGATGCATTATTATTGTCCACACCGATGCATTATTATTGTCCACGTTTTCGTAGCGTTTTTATTTAAGGAATAAAAGACGAAATTCCGTGTTTGATACTCTGATCAAAACACGCGGGATGTAGGGAGAGCACGAGAGAAGCGTAGGAAACCACGACGCGTAGCGGAGTGGTTTCCAGCTTTTCGAGTGCTCTCCCTACATCCCAAGTGTTTTGATCAGAGTATCAAACACGGAATTTCGTCTTTTATTTCTTTTCTAAAATTAAAAGAAAAAAAGAAATTTTTGACGTGCGCAAGCGTGTTTTCATACTGCAATCGAAAATGGTTTTCGACCAATCACAGCGCGCGTAGTATCCTAAATATTTTAGAATGTTGTTTCTTTCTCAGTCCATGGAATGAAAAACGATTTGAAAATGCCAAAAAAATGTAGCAAAGTTGAAAACCTTAACTTGCCGATATCAACAAAACAATAAAAGCATGATGGAAGATTCCGAGTCCTTGTTTATATTCTAATAAACCCGTTTTCGTGTTTACTTTCAGAAATGGCAAAATTGTTTGCACCTTTGTGAAAAAAAGAAAACAGAGTTTGTTGAGTATTTTGGCGTCAAGACTAAAAGAGCGAAAACTACATTTTACCATCGTGCTTTGCACGACAATGACCGTGTTAAGCCTGGGACCAGTCTATTTATAGTTGTGTTTCAGACCGGATATGTAAATACTGAAGAATAGCCGGAGCCATTATTAGAACCCAACGGACTGATTTTGAGTATATCTAAAGAAAAAAATAAGTTTAAAAAAATCTCGAATCTTTGTCTGTCACATGCTTCTAACCGCACGAAACTGATTTCAGTGCAGCCAGCGTGGAGACTGGAGACGAAGCAATAGTTCTGGTGCGGCTGCATATAGGCTAACAGGCGAATGTCTGGAATAAACTAATCTTCAAATAGTATTGAAACTATATGTAAAATCAATCCAACAGCTTTAACAACTCTCACTATAGATCTATAGAACATTTCCACATTGCGTGCCATGAAATATTAAATTCAACCTAAGACGGACATCGTCTCACCACATTTCTTCTCTCCTGTTTTCCGGCTAAATATGTTAAGTCAAGAAAGCATTGCAAACCCTCGGATTAGGCACGGGATGCCCTAGGTCTTTAATATCGAGTACCCATAATGCTGTAGGTTTTGTAATTCTTTCTTTCATCAGTCTTACTATTAAAACGGTGTGATCAACTTGCGATACTATATCGAATCTTATTTATGCATTATGCTAAAACCTTTAGACAGAAAGATTTGTAGGATTTGTAACATTGGTGTAGGCGGAAATAGCAATATGTCATGGAAGGGGATAGTCTGGGAAGGCTCAAGGAACAGAGGAATGTCCATTAGAGGATATATCATGTCATCTTATTAAATCTATGATACACCACGGGATGTTCACAACACTTAAACATACAGTTCGACACACAAAGGGTTTTCCCTGCTTTACAATGTTGATGTGATTCATAGATGCACAAAAACAATATAAAAGGAAGCTCCCATCAAGACTAGAGCAACATATTGCTGCCAGACTATCAGCAGTGTGCAAGGTATGTAATACTAGTAAAATAGCATTCTAGTCATTGTATGAATAGTAAGCATTGTAAACCGTAGAGAATACCACTATCAATTAACCTTTATTAATGACAAATTGATATAAAGACTCGGGTTTCTGCCTGTAGGCGCAGCCATGATAACATCAAATCGATGTATAAATATAGATAAGTGAATAGGATTCATCACACTAATCAGTCAGAACAAAAACAGATTATTTTTTCTTGGAAAACACAAAAAATACGTTTAATTTGGGCGCACATAGAAGTTCAAGTTTTATATTTCGGCCAATTAAAGGAAAATCGGATGGATGGCTTACTTTCTTATAAGCCAAAAACTAAATCATAAATCAGTTGTTTCTGACAACACCTTGTCGGATAACCCGAAATTATTACCGTTTGGCCAGTGATTGCCTTCACACCATTGAAGATTTCTTCTCTCGTTTGATGAAGCCATTTTTCCAACCTATAATTTGATTTGTGATAATATGTTGAATGATGAGATATCTAGTCGCTGGGGTCAGTTTTATTCTCAGGTTTTAAATGAAGTGGCATTTTGTGATTGGAGTACGTAACGGTGAACGAGGCATACCACCATATCCCATAAAACCGCATTAATGATGGTAAACATTGCTGAAATAATATGATGCGTTTTGATACCACCCACCTTGCTCACTTCTATTACCCAGTATTAACAGCACACCACAGCAAAATCGTTAGGCACTATTCAAGAATGTTAAACAATATCTTAAATAAACTGAGCTTTAGCAATGGAGTAGATTACAGACAAGTCGAACGCTATTAGTAAGAGGGATTACAGCAAATGATTGATGCTATTTACTGTGTCAACAAGGGACTTACAGCAATATTACAGCACTGGTAGACAATCTACATCAGCACAAACTTCTCGTTTACTACACATGTACGTAAATATAGTTTTACCAAACGATTGTCATTATGCTTACTGCAGACAAAGTAAAATAAAAGTATTGCACGTTATTATTTTGAGACGCCACGCGTCCATGACGTGTCAATGGCCTACTAATCGCCGTATTATCGTTGAGGCGGTTCTACAAGTACAACCAGAAAGATAAGAAAAGTACCCCAAACTGGACTATAATTGTACCATTTTAAACGCCCTTTAAAAATAGTGTCGACTTACAACCAAAGATGTTTTGAGCAGAAGAACAAACAAAATCAACTTATAGACGACCATTCATTGATTCTGCATGTTTGCTAAGCACCAAATTAAAAGATAAAACGTTTAAATTGAGGAAGCAGTAAGCATATGATAACCAGCCTTCACAGCAACCACATATCCTGCAGGGAAAGCAAACTTTGTAACTTTGTAGAAAGCGAAGAAAAACAAGGGCATAAAAAATAGTTATGTGTCGGGAAAGACTTGATGATCGCGCTGAAAGAAACTAATTGCTTTACGTGTTGGATTGGATTAGTTTTTGCCTTAAACTAAACTGAGTGTGCCCGCCATATGTTAACAAAACTCACCTTAGAGACTAGAAAACCGTCATTTCTGCCATGTCAGTCTTGATTAGCTCAAATATGAGGGAAATGGGAGGACTTTTGAAGGGTCTTGATGAACCACAAGCATTATAAACTTCACTAGATGTTTGTTATAACTCTAAGCTTAAAGTTGTGTCATAGCCGATGCTAGGAGGTCTAGACGCGTGGCGCGCTTACACAAACACCGCTCAACTCTAAAGGGGAAGTGTGTAATCTAGAAGATATTGACATAAATCTAAAAAGGTAATATGAACTTGTGTTTTGTCCCCAGATATCACTAGTGATTAGCTGATACATGTTGAACAACGTTGGAGGCCTGTGATAACCAGCTCATTATCTCTTTGTGAACTAGAGTGGCCAAGAGTACTATCGATACTCGTGCAAACAACATGTCAACTTGGAATTATCTATTAATTCTTTGCAGCTTATCTCAAGTCATGTCTGACGGCAAATCATTTTCATCGTCATTTCACATGCTTGAGCCTGCACGTAAGCCTGTAACCTGCATCAAACCACCGGTACTTGATCCCCCTTACTATCGTGATCCAAGGCACGACGAGATGGACCCAAGAAAGTTAAGGAAGCTTCTTGGTGCGGCCTACAATCCTGAGTACACAGCAATGACTGAAAACGAAGTGCACAAGAGACGAAAAGAAGAGTTTTTACGCAGTCTTAAAGACATCAACAGTCCAGAACACGAAGTTTACCGCAAGATTCTCGTCAAGTCCATGCCGCAGCACATCAAAGATCTTGACTTTACAATGCCTGGTCTGCGACGCAGTCTAGGACCTCGAGCGAGCAGGAAGCTTCAGCTTTGGCTATGGAAGATGTCATCTTGTCCTGTTTTCTCCAAGTGGAAATATTTCGGTGTGCGTTATTGGCCACCTTACCGCAACATTGGTCGATGCGGTAAAAAGCGTTCGTGTTCGTTTCCTCGTGGCATGAAGTGCAAAAAGTCAGATACTAAAACTGTCGCTTCATTACGATGGGTGTGTTTCAACAACAATACTGTAACATGTCGATGGATGAAAATTGACCTTGCAGTGATCACTAAATGTCAGTGTACGTGCAGCCACAGCAAATCTTAAAAAACACTAAAACGAGCTAGACAACAATGTTAGCAATACAGTGTCAGTATGGCAGAGTTTTTGATTGGCATTTAGTCCCTGGCATTTGTATTTTAACATACAAAAGATGGTTGTCATTAGTAATCAGCTCATCATATAGTTACTTGTCCAACCAGTCCACTATTTGTAACGGTCTCCTTTAGAACAAACTACCGCCTATCTCGCATTGCCTATTTAACTTGTCTATTTAGCGTTGTCGTTGTTAAAAAAGCCAAAAAAATTTGATTTTCTTATTTGCTCGTTTCAAATTTTCACTGCATTGAGTTTGGTGGATACTAAAACGACCAGTTGGTCCCAAAGGAATACGAGTTGGGCCAAGTACGATCTCGAAGTCCACTCGACCTCGTTCTATACTTGTTCAATGTTCAGCCGATAAAATCATTACAATTCTATGTAGAAAGAGTGTTTTCAGTAAGCGATCGCACTTACACCGTGCAACTTTACAAAATGTTAGTAGTACTCATTTTTACTAAAAGTGGACCTGAAGCAAGACGGTATCGAATGCTTCATTTGTATCAATTCAATGTAATTTGCGCACAGCATGCACGATTTACTAAACCAACTAAATAGCACTATTTAGTTTGTACAGTTGCACGGTGCGATCACTCTAAAAGCGTGAAAGACTAATTACTAAATTGTACAAAATAGTGTTAGTTGAACAAAGGAAAACAAAAGAATCACAATGAAACAGTACAAAATAACATTACTAATGTTTTACGCTTTTACTAAAAACACTTTATAATCCATTTGTGAATAACCGCTGTCTTATTTGAAAGCGATCCTCTTACGCAAAGACCTTACCAAACACAAAAGAAAGCACGAGAAAATGTCGTACGTACAATAGCACGAACAATTTTCCCTAAGCTGAGGCTAAGGCTTAAACGTTTGTTCTCATGGGAATACAGGGTTAGTCTCAACTCAGGGGAAATTCAAATTTTCAAGGTTATTTTGATAGAGAAATTTTCTCGTGCTTTCTTTAGTTTACTGTAAGGTCTTTGCTCATCAAATAAAGCATCAACTAGCGAGCCAATACTAATAATCTTTGTATACAATCGGGCCGAGCTACACAAAAATAAAAACCGTATTCAGACCTTACAGTTTGATTTACTGGACAGACATATAAATCTCGCTATCGTTAAAGCCGCAATAATAGATTACACATTGTATTATCAGGCAAATCATGATAAAGAGCACGACGCGATCTCGATAAATCATCGCTGTTTAGGACAATAAACTCTGTGGGAGGGGTTTTGGGGTGACTATTATGCATGGAATCACTGAACACTCCTTAGAAAGAAACCGTACTTCAAGCTAAGAAAGCAGAATATGCAAACTTGACGTTGCAGTCAAGAAATTCATGGGATAGGGGCAATCAACAGGCGATTCGGATAATTTCTGTCTACTCTCGCCAATGCCAATCCAAAAGTCAAGTCATCAAGATACCAAGCTAAAAATTCGAGAACTGGTAACTATTGAAAAATATAGAGCACGTGACCCTTCATCAGGAATGAATGCTGGCAAAGATAGCGAATAGATGAATGAATCATTTACAATAAACAACTGAATGTACTGATTCAGCCTTTCATTCTTAAACGGTCTGTTTTTCTTCCCACAAAAACCCGCGACTAGGAACTTACATATTTGGGGAAAACGGCGGCTAATTCACATAACAAGCTGTGCGCAAATGGTATTTCTTAAAGGCCATTCCCAGTATTGCATTGCTTGCATGACCAGAGTTCAACCATTTGAAACGTATGTGTTGACCTATCTTTTTTATTTTAGCAATGAGCCGATTTTGAGATATCTAAGAATTAGTAGTGAAAAATTGTCGTAATGTCGTTCGTACAAGACAAAGAACACGTTGACTTTTCTTTATTAACTTGAGCTTGAGTTCTTTTTCCATCTCAAAGTAAATAATTGTACAAATCTTCATTTAGGATCTATGAATTCACACTGAATAACAGCTGCTTTATTTGACAGCAGATTCTCTTGCGAAAAGATCGTACCAAACACATAGGAAAGCACAAGAAAATGTCGTTATTGCAATAGCCCTGAAAATTTGCGTTTTCTCCGAGACGAAACCTGTATTGCCACTAGACTAAGGTAGAGTACAATCATTAAATGGGTGTAACACTGTCCACTATTTACTACAAAACAATAGAAAACAATAGAATTAGCATAATTTAGCAGTATTTAGTGGTATCTATGTTGCACAGTTTAAGTGTTTGTACTCTACGAGCTTATTTAAAAATACTTTGAAATACCAAGTTAAATTAAATTGTGCATCCAATAGAAATCCGAGTTGCCTGTACTGTTGAAAAAATATATTTGTCACCTTAGAATCACAAAATATATACAACTGCTGAAAAATAACCTAAATCTAAAATAGAGAAAACTAAAAGATAAGTGTATTTGTTCGTCATGACAACTTGTAAATGACCTCAGCTTGAAATGTAATGGTGCAACTGAAACTTAGAAGCCACGCTTGATTCAAATATTTTGCCAAGAATATTTGAAAAGCAATTCACTGCAATTTTCTGATGAATGGGATCACCTACTTGTTGATCATACAAAACCAACTAGTCGCAACAATTCAATAAATATTTTCTACGAGTCTCAAGGACTTGGACATAGCCCATAATATATCTCCCCGCCCCCCACATAAATAATGACAACTCAATAAATATACAGAAATGTCCTTGAACTCTTTTGTATTAAAAAAATCATTTTTACAATGTGAGAATGCTGTTTTTCAAAGAGGAACTGTAACATAACGGAGATTATTATTAATTTCTTAGATTACAAATATCCTTCAAGCAAATCAAGGGTTGAAATAGAGTACAGCAGCGCAATAAAGGTCGAAACACATATAGAAAAAAGTTGTATTCTTTCAAAATGCTCGCTTCTTTCACTAAGGCATCACAACATACTGACCTTGTGTGGAATTAGGCATTCGGCACAACGATTTGGTGTGACCACAGGCAGCCCACTCCTTGTAAGCTATTAAAATATCATGCAATCTTTTCTGTATTTTCATTGTATTTTATTAAAGGCCCAGTTTGCACCATTATGCTTTGCGCGCCTCTGTTATTGTTATGATTTACACCAAAATACTTCTAGTATCCAAATATCACCATAAAACGAATTTCAGATGGTTCAAAACTCTAATATCAGCGTTTAAAGTGCTTAGAAAAGTGAGATGGTCAAAGATTTGAAACACACAGTACAATTTATAGACTTTCGGTAAACTGAAAATGGCCGCCTCCTGGCCCTCGCGGCCCCCAAAGCATAATGGTACACACTGGGCCTTTAATTCATAATATTGATGCTTAATGTTTGCTTGAAGGATACTGCAACTTATCTCGTACAACCCGCAAGAAACGAGATCTTACAACAGGTAATCAACAAATACCAAGCGCGCCCGCTGATGAATCAAATAAATCCTGCGCAGTTTATTTTCTGTTGAAAATGTAAGGGATGGTCTTCCTGTGGATGTGACGTGGAATAATTGCAACAATTCCTAGCGCCATAACGATACAATGATTTGGTGTGACGTCATATTGAAACAAGGTGCTTAATGTCTTCAAAGAAACGAGCAGAAAGCAAATCTATTTTCTATGCAACTATTTCCTTCGCACTTTTGTCTTCCCGACAATAAGTTGGAGAAGTCGTTCACAGTCCTCGACGGACTGGGTCGTTCCAGTCCTTGGCTGACGTCTCAGACTCGTGGAAAAATATTGGACTTTAAACATTGCATAATCCGGGTCAAAACAATACACTGATTTGATGTGACAATTCCTCGCGTGCTCTATTTATAGTGATATTATATAGATGAATTCTAACGCGCGCTCTGATTGGCCAAAAAAGTGTGGTTTATGATAGTATAAACCACGATTGTGCTCGAGCGATTTTTGAAAAAGGTAACAAAATGGATTTTTGCTGAAGTTTTGCTCAAAATCTATATAATAAAACAAATAAATAAGTCTCAGCCTGTGGTTTATACTCTGATAAACGCACGCTTGACATTTGAAACACACGAGAAAATGTCAAGAAGCACGAGCTGAAAACCACGGCTGAGCCTTATTTATTTGTTAAATATATATTAGAGTTTAGAACGTTTGCAAATAATAATAATA